CCCGCATTAAATATATTTTTTATTAGCGCGCGGCATAGCCGCTTATATTTGTATTACCCCAGAGAGGAATTGTCTCTCTAGAGAAATTTTCTGATAAATAAAGTGTGCTCTTCTGTATCTATATATCTATGCATAAGTGTCCGGTGCCTTTAGACTAATCTGATGACTAAATGAAAATATAAAAATCTATACGTCAGAGCTACGGTTGCTTATTTATTTATACGATGTCGCGCGGATGGCCCGGTCTCGCGATTCGCGAGCACTGCTGCCGCGCCACATCTCGCGATTTCATCGCAGATATTGTGTGTGTATCACAAATAAGCGCCGCGTGGCCAACACACGGTAGGAAAGTTGACTGAAACGGTTCGAAAGGAAAGCGCGAAAGTAACGAGGGCTCATCCAAAATGCTCATCCAAGAGATGCCCTCGTTATTTCGTTAATGATTTCTCTAACAATACTCTAAAAGCAAGCACAATTATCGCAAGCACCTCCCTTGCTCCTCGAAGTTTCTTGAAAAGTTTCTTGGTCACTGAATGACTAGGAATAACTCACTAAAAAAAAATTGGTTTCTAAATACTATAGTAACGTAATAATTAATTAAATCGTTAATTTGTTAAATGAGTTTTTGAAGGGCCCTGTTATAATGACGTCGTTAAACAAAAGTAAACTTGCTGTCAGTCAAATGATTAACAACAACGAGATAAAAAAAGTTTCGTGATCATTTTTCGAGCTTGACAGCATTTTTCACACTCTCTTCCAACTACCAATAAGTACAAACAGCTGATTCTTTTCCTCTGAAATTTTATTTGGACTCTGGCTTCTATTAAAATTTTATTATGAATTTAACGGGTTCATACTCTCCTAAGGGAATGCAATTCCTGTACGAAGCTGTATCGGGCTGCTCTAAAAATTGCAAGGTTATAGCGAATGACAGAGAACGCGATCTCTACCATTTAACGTTATCGTAGTTTCTTCGATCGCCAATGATCCTGGATCGATCGTCTCTCAGACAAAATTACACACGATCCGCAATAACAACAACAAGGGCGTTAACACAAGCGACTCG